ATTCAAAATTTAATTATAATGACACTATTATGTAATTATGAATTTGGAATATTAGTGATGCTATAGTACCTAATTCTCATCTCCCATTTCTTTTATTTGGAAATGTATAATGTAGCGTTTGAACACACCAATAATTTTGAGGAACGATTCCGAATTGACTCCTTGACCGAATAAAACTCCGGATCCATTCCAATTATGTAGACCCAACTGTCGGAGGGAATGGGAAATATATACGGTTTTTTGAACCAATAACTTTTGTATTTAATTTTCTTAAATCGTTAATTTTTTTGTTTTTGTTCCATACAACAGAATGCTTGAAGAAATATGGTTCTTAAACAATTAACAATAGTTGGAAATTTTAACATTACACATAAGGGTAATTTTTATTTCGAATAATATAGACATGTAATTATTGATATGACCCTGGCATATCTTTATTGTAAGCTTGGATGTATGCCTCATGTAATTTTTGAACGAAATCGGTGTCATTTTGAATTAGAAAGTTAAACGCTTGTATTAATTGGGACTGCGTAAGAGGTTCTTTCCTAAGCGAACTTTTGTCTATATCTGATGGTTTGTCAAACATAGTGGGTAGCAACAAAGCTGGCTTTGTCGTCTTTGGAGGTTCTTTAACAAGAAGCTGGCGAAGACGTTCTTCTTCTGTAACTACTAAAGGAGCAGAAGAGCTTTGTAGCTTTACAGTCTGTTGACTTTCTATTCCCGGGAGGAAATCCAAATTCACTGCTGGAGTGCCTTGATTGTTCGATTTAGACTCTGTCATATCATACTTGCAGTTAGTATCAGATGATTGGGTGTCACCCCTAGGCGTTTTAGCGCGTTGTTGTTTTTCTAATTGTTCAACAGACAAAGAATTTGGTATAGCCCGATGCATAAAAGGCACTTCCGTAGACCGAGGCTTTGCAGCGGCAAAAAATTGTAGTACATTACAGGATGCAATTTTTTGTTGCGTGTTGTATTCCTGCTGAGCTTTCGAGAGCATTTTAAATATATTCACATTTTCATCTCTTATTTGGCTTTTTTCATCACTTTCATTTGAAAAAACTCGTACATCAACTTTTGGTACTAAGCTACCGACAATATTGCCGATGCGATCACACTCTTCACTATTATAAAACCAAAAACCTCTGATCCGTGAACGTTCATTGCGATACAGTAAAAAAGGCGGCTGAGATTGGAGTTCCAACTGGCTTGTGATCGGCTCCACAAAGGAGGTGGTATTAATACGGTTATTTATAAATATACTGTGAAACGGTTGGGCATTCCTGCTGTATATAAAAAAAGCTCCCTCAACATCAGTCTTCTCCCACTCGTTATGGTCTGCATTAAACGTGTAAAATGCAACATGCGACGAAGTATCAACAATATCTTTTGCGTACGGATCAACTTTCTTAATAGCCGCTAAGTTCATGCGCGCCTTACTACTTTCATCGAGACTCATTTTCTTTGCTCTTAAATTTCAATAACACGTAAATACCACAGTATATTAATAATTTTACGTCAACAACGTCAACAAAATCAGCATTCAACAAGGTGTTCTACATAACGAATTTAATTGAAAGGAAGTGTTCGGAAAGAATTGTATAGCACAGGGTGCTCCACAGTAATCTTATATAAGTGGAAATTCTGAATGATAAGGCTGTCGAACAAATAACAACCAATATAAAATTGTTTACATCTTTATATGTTTTTATTATTTTATGTTCATCTTCAAAAGAGTATATTCACTGAACTTTACGGGGCATCTCGACAGGACAAAATCTATGTCTTACTAACTGTATTGCCGTGCCTATTGCCAGTGGAGAGTCCACATTGCTTATTGCTTACAATATATGGAATACTAATTAGTTTGCCATATATTATAAACAATAAGCTGTCACTTAACAGCACTGTTTTCATTTCTATGAAAATTTCAAAGAGGCAAAATATCCCATTTGCGAGTATTAAGACTGTTGTGTTATATTATAAAAATAAAGTATATTTTCAAAATAACATTTTTCCAAAAAATTAATATTTAGTTTAATATAGTTAATTTACAGAAAAATTATGTAAATTGGGATAACAAGTGTCCACATACAGATTTGGCAATGGCAATAGCAATATATTTGACAGTTAGACATAAATTTTATCCTGTGGGGATGCCCCGTAAGAATACTACTCAAACGAGAATGACATATTTTGGGATCGCGACATATATGACGTCATAGAAGGAAAGAAAGAACGGTAAAAATCAAAGGAAGAAATCAGTATTGTATTTATTAAAAAAATTAGTATAATAAATCATTATTTTTTAAAATGAAGGGGGATAGAAACGTGTTTGAAACAATTATAGTGGAACTCAACCATTGAAAAGGAGTTATCTCAATTTTAACTTCTATTTGGATAGCAATATCAAATCGTTTTAATTTAAAATTAGGTTGGCGATAAATAAAAAATATTTATTAAATGTTCTTGATATATTCCTGGTAGAAGTTATGCAACAACTTTACTGAGCATTCAGTAGTACCTTATAAATTGTGTGTTGCTCATACGACGTGGCACTTTATGAATGTCCATTTGATGAATAACTTCAACTGCGTATAACTCTTACTTCCTATCTCCAAAGCAAATAAACTTCCAACTATGAAAAGATCATTATACAAAATTTAGTGCTCTGCAAAAAAGTGTTATTGGTTTTTTCCATAAAAACCCTTGTACATTAATAAAAAAAAACACTTCATGCGTTTAACTTTTAAAGCAATGTTAAAAAAAAAAATCAGTCTCTTTTTGTGCAGCATAGTATCCTGTTTTCAAAGTTATAGGTCTAAGGTTTAATGCAAGAGATAAAAACCTCATATTAATTACAAAGGAAAATTATGATGACTTAGGAACCCATTGCACTTAGGAAATTTCTTTTTAAATTGAAAAATTGAAATTTTAAGAGGCTCCAGCAAAAAGAAATTGTCTTTGGAAATAACGGATACCTCTGAATGCCATTTTTCTTTCACTCCACGGTCCGCAAAGGTCCCGATTTAATTATGAATTTACATTTTCTATACATTTCATACACACCTATACATATATACACACTTATGCAAAATTTTAAATATGTGTAAATATTTCCTTACAAAATTTTGATGGATGGAAATTAGGCGCAATCGATCTAAAATAGTTTATTTAATATATCAGAGATAGTAAATCATCAATTTTGATTTAAACTTCCGAAACGACATTAATTTATTTTTCTTCTACTATGAAAAGAAAATATAGCTTTTTTTAATTATAAACTTTTTTGCAAAGCAATGCTTTTATTTGTAGCTCTAGTATTCAATGTAGCATATAGGATGCTTATGTATGTAGACAAAACTTTGGTTATTTACAGAATAGAGTATTTAATGTTACTTTATATTTTTTGTAGACATCATTGAACACTAATCTAACATTGATAACACATTTTTATATGTTTTATTTTTAGCAGGTGTCTCACTTTTATGTATAGTATACATTGTATACCCTATAAGTGTATCTAAAATTTTAAATGGTCCAAAACAATCTAGAGCATTAAATCAATTGATTCAGAGTGCTGAAAGAGGCGGAAGTCTTGTCGATTTCATCAAAATTTTTTTTTATCTTGTTGCTATTCCAACTGTCTTCCTCTAGAAAAGGCACATTTTCGTGTGTAGCATACATGTACCACAAGAGTTTTTTAAAATCACATTTCGGTGGCACGCATCTGTTTTGTATGATAGGCAAAATATTTTCGAAAGAGTTTGATAAGAGGCATCGCCGGATCCTGTTGTCCAAATCCATAAGCATCCTAAGTTATTAAAAAATGGGACTTTTTATTAATTTATTGAAAATCAATATACTATAACGGAACTAAATTATTTTTAATTTTAATTTTAATAAAAACTTGCCATGGTGAGTGGATAATTAGAAATTAATTAGAATTTTTGTCATTTGCTGTTAGCAATCTTTTGTAATTTTAAAAATTAACACTGGAAGTCTTCCACTTGGCAAACGGTGTTCATTCACCATAGCGGTTTTGAATATTCATAGTAAATTTGCAAAATTTTATAATATATGTAGTTAACATTAAAACTTACCAATATTGGTTATATTATTTGTATTTTTGTACATTAAATATTCGGAATCAATTTTTAGATATTCCCATATCCTATGATAGTTATTGGATATATATACTATACATTTATAAACAAGCCATTATTRAAGAAAAGTCATCTTCTTTTGTTATAACTTACAAAAAAGTTCTGAACATAGAAAATGCGCACAAAAATATTTACGTTGTGTTATTATAAGCAACGATTAGTATTTATTGCATAAATAACGTACACATACATATACAAATCCCATATATGAGAAATAACCATTAAAATGTGTCACTACTTCAAAGTTTACAAATTTACCTTACGTATCCGTATATATTGTCCAGATTCATGTCTTTAAAGTCAGCTTTGTAGAGAAAAAACATTAACATTATTGGTAAGTGCATGCACTTATGAACAAATAAATTTTACAGACAAACTTATTCCCAGCATTTCTTAAGATATAAAATTAATTAAATATTTATTTAAAAGCCGAAATTTTCGCTTCTTTTTATTAAATGTCCACCACCAATACTATCTAAAGTTCTCTTGGGATGGGAGTCGAATTTTTCATAGTTCACTCTGTCAATATTTCTAAGTCGAAGAAGTACAGCCAGTGCTTTTCTTGAAATACTTAAGTAATTACGGCAATTGAATTTCGTATAGTTATCTTCGTCTGGTAATGTCAAAAGTAGATAAATTAGTTGCCCAAATAAATTGAAGTTGTCTGTTCGATAGTCGTGGTCGTTGCACAGTTCATCTAAGAGTGGAGAAAACTTTCTATTAAAATGAAGTAAATCGAATCCATAAAATTCAATGAAACGCATTTTTAATGAAAATTAATTATAAATTTTTTTATAAAATAACTCGTTAATAATCATGATATATGCTTCAAGATTACGTAGCTTTTAGTACTGAGCCAATTACCTTTCAAAGCCGGATAATTATCATTATACGTTGTTGAGACCTATAATAAAAATAATATGTTATTAAAACGGTTACAATTCACTGAATGATATGTTATTGCAATGGATCTATACATATGTATATTACAATATAATCTCTTAAGAAACAACTAAACAACTTTAATACCAAAGTTTGCATTGCGCCCAAGCCAAAAGGTTGTTAAACCACAAGGCTGTGATGTCTTCAGATAAAATTTAGTAAATTTCTTATATATTGCACAATTTACATTAATACTAATTTTCTGAGTAATGTTAATATACCACAAATGTCGTATAAGAGTGGTACATGTAGAACTTAAATTAAAAACTTTACGAATAAGAACTATTAACAAATTTTTGAGTATAGTGTGGACTACTAAATAAATTTATTGCTTACCTTTGATGGCATAGCCATTGTAGCTACAACACAAACGGCTAAGGATAATATGGAAATAATTTTCATTGTAGTAAAATATAAAATATTTATTGTTACGAATTTGTAGTCCCAACTCTTCTTACTTTTCAACTTTAACTGTCTGTTAGCTGTATTCTCCTGTCTTATTTATACCGGAATATTCATTTCTAAATAAAGGGTGTCATCTAATATATTTGAAAGAATAAAGTGTCAGAGCTGAGACTTGGAGGAGATTATATATTAACTACTTCCTGACCTTAACAACATTCTATACCATGGTACGCTACATTTTTTTCATTTATGACAAGATTGCTGATATTTAAAAACAAATATTTGAATGTAAATATGTTAGAAATATGTTTCACTTCTATTTGTTTATGAGTTTATTCTTATTTAAACATTTTTTATAGGGAAGTTCTTTCTAGTAACAAGTTCTCTTTTAACATTTTTTTTGCTAAAAAGATTTGATAATTTACCCTGTATTATTAACTTTTATTTACATACATATCTATTGCTATGGTAACCAACGGCTTGAAGCTAAGTTCTTTTGGTTGAATTTATATGTACACACTCTAATGATAACAGTATGTAGTTATGATACCACAAATTATACAACCATATGTTAAAAAACTAAATATAAAATATATTACAGTTTTATCAACTATACGTACAAATGCATCTAAAATATGTGTAAATCTAAATTAACTTCCTTCCAGCATACATATGTACGCCTATATATAAAAATTTATAAATATTTATGTATATAAATTATAATTAAATCTTACTTCATATTTTGGAATGCTCACAGGAAATCTATATTTTATCTCTTGAGTAGAACCAGGGTTGTGGACAAAATGGTAGTAAAACCTTATGTAAGAAATCTTATGTAACATATTCATTCTGTACCCAGCAAGCTAAATAAATCGTAAGAAAATGTGTGGAACTAACTCATTAACCGCATGGGTAAGGAGGTGATGAAAGATCGCACGTACTCAAGAATTTCGTTCAAATGACACATTTTTATTATATAGGATTTCAAGACTTAAAGACTAATAAAGGAATACATATAATTAAATAAGGTCACAGTTTATAAAGTGGAACTAAAAAAAACCATAATGCTGAGATCTACAAGTAATTGAATGAAACCAAGGATATAAAATAATCCCCAGGTGTGGTGTAATTGCATTTAACTTGAAATTCGTTTATGAAAATATTTAAAATTTTACGAAGCGAACCCTGTGTTCAAATCGAAGGTGAGGATTTTACAGAAGGTTCTCTCTCCTATACTTTGCATTAATTGATTATTTTATAAACGCTTAAATTTCATTTAAAATATGGTATATCCAATAAAATACTAAATAAATCAAAGTTTTGTATTCGATTTCCATAACACATGTCGGGGAACGTCTGACTTTCACACCTAAGCAATTATTATTTTCGGATAAGAGATGTGATGGCTTGTGAGATTATAAGTTGTACTAACTTCCATGTTACAGAAACATCAGCGATATAAAGAAAATATTGTTCCCCTAAGTCTTGAGTCTGAATCTCCATAGTACCACATATACTTTATATAAAGTTTGTACTCAGACAGATTAATCCCGTATCCGCGATCACTGAAATGAAATTTATCGGCTATTAAGTTACAGTTTGAAAATTTGAAACTTTTCATTTCACCTAGTATGCAGTACCACAATATCCGATGATTTTTTACAACCAGTACTTATAAGCAAATATCTTTTATTAAACCAGTTAAATAGTTGTAACGAAACATATGTATATGTACATATTTTATACAAATTTTTATCAATGCATTCAAGGTGAATGGATACGTATGCATGAAAATAGTTCAGCGAATTTGTGAAGATGGTTTCCGCGTCCTGGGTTAATCTAGAAGCCAATATTTCTCTAACAAGCTTGGTGACCTCATATAATGTAAAATAGATCCAGTACATTTTACTATCCAATGTTATTTTAACACTGTTGTTAAAATTCGTTGTCTTCATGATATCGTCTAAAAGGTAGAAATGACGACATGCAAGCTGCTTCATATTTTTTCCATCCTAATGTTTTATTTATTTTTACTTTATATAATATTATATTACAATGCTATTCAAGGTTGGCCCTCCTTTCTGGAAAGGAGACGACACCCACTATCATTTACACATACGTACATAATTCAGATAGAACAATTTCTTTTTTCAACAGATTACATTGTGGGGTTATTCTAGACTGGACATCAAAATTTTAGACACTTTGCTACCCATGTAATGATCTAAACCAAACAAATTGAAAAAATTCTTCATCAGTAAAGATCTCGCAACCGGATTGACCTTTGTCAAAAAAAATCGTAAAATGAAGTCAACTTGAAAAAAAACTTCCGATAGAGAGACATATACCAAATTTCATATGAATCGATTAAATATAACTCGTGTATCATATCAACCACCTTAAAAAAAGTAGTTTCAAGAAAAATGTATTTAAAGTTTTACATTAACCTTTACCGGTCCAGTTGTCACGACACTAAAACGGCTTTAACTTCCGAAATTATTTGAATTTTGAAAAATAATTAAAATATATTTTTGAATATCTACACTATCGAAATATGAAAAAGAACTTTAATTAGACATATTAACCACTCATATAGGGTGAGCAAGGGTAATCGGGTATGTTCGAAAATGTTCGCTTTTTCGTTTATCAGCTAACGAGATGCATTATAGTTTTGACGGCGCTTCCATTATCACACATTTCAGAAAAGTAATATTACATTTAATAGTGGTTTCCATACAGTTGGAGGTAAAATCAGCAGGAATAAACGAATCTGTGCAAATTTTCACGTCTTTCCGTGTTGTGGTTCGCAGAGTACATATCGAAATAGCTTTTAATTTATATATATCTACATATATAGAAATTGAATTATTTTTATTGATTATGATTCGCTACGTCATATTTTTTTATATTTACATTCAAATGTTGTGCCCATTAGATTATTTTATATTTGAAATCCTTCTCCTGAAAACTTATGAAAGGTGATGTTACGTTATTTTGCGTTTCAGATGAGGATAATCATATAAGATATACAAATGTAAATATAGTATGTTCTTAACAGATTTGTAAATCAGTGTCATTCTGATCTTTATTTACTAACCACTCGAAACTCGGTCAGTCGCTGAATCCACGTATTTTTCGCAGGCATGTAGTAACCAGTAGCCAACATCACTTTGTTATACTCATCGAATCCGAAAAAGTTAAAGAAATATTTTAGTAAGAGAATTATTTATTTATTGTTGTGGCAAAAAATAATAATATGGCTGGGATTTAGAATAGCATCCCCGGATTTCGGGAATAAAATCAATATCACTGGAAAGGTGACGTTCTCCAGATCACGAAAATATATATATGTATATATAGTTGCCGCTAACTTATCGTTTTAAACATATTTCCATTTAAAGTTGAAAAATTGACAACTTTTACATTGATAATTAGTATATTGTGAATAACTTTTTCTCTTATATTATGCTCTTTTCACTTACTAACACTTCACTATAACGTGTCTGTATATTAATTTTTTTAATATTTGTTGTAAATAGATAGATATTTGTTGTAATAAAATAATTAAAATAAAGCTTTATTTACAACAAATATTAAAAAAATTAATATACAGAAACGTTATAGTGAAGTGTTAGTAATTGAAATGTGCATAATATAAGTGAAAAAGTTATTCACAATATACAAATTATCAATGTAAAAGTTGTCAATTTTTCAACTTTAAATTCAAATACCTTTAAAACTATAAGTCAGCGGCAATTATATATATATATTTTCGTGATCTGGATAACGTCACCTTTCCAATGATTCCAATTTTATGCCCGAAATCCGGGAATGCTATTCTAAGTTTTACCCAATAATATTTCCAGTATTTCAGTGATAGATAACCCAAGATGGCAAACAGAGAAACAAACACATAGATTTGGTTTTCGTTAAGTTCTAACATTGTAAAAACCAAAGATGCCCTAAAAACCCGCCAACGCTCGCAGATTTTCGTAAAATATTTTAATTAGCCGTCCCTTAGATGTTTAAGCAACAATGGATATTATTAATAGATTTCTATCAAACCCAAAGCTAGTTGTAAACTATTCAACTAATAAATAAGTAAAATCACTGCTTATGTGTTATTTAAATTTCCAAAATATTTATTTGCTCTATTTTCTTGGTTGATTCCGAGCCATATCCTTAGGGAAAGTTCGTACAGGTGGAGTGCGAATACGACGAGCTTCTTTGGATCTATTCCTTACAACCTTTGAATGTATAGCACATGACACACAATAATGCAGCTTTGCGTACAGCTTTGGCAAAATATATGCTAAGGAATAAATTGGTATTAAAAACAAACTGACAATAATTAGATCAACTTACTTTCCCAGATTGAAGCTTCAGAAATGTCTCTCACTGCAGCGGCTTCTACAATATTACGAATGACGAACTTTTTAATGGCTTTATCCTTGGGAACACAACGTGCACAATTGGTACAGCGCACCGGCTTCACGTGGCCCCGATTATGCTTGCAACGACCTCCGTTACGGCGTTTCTTTGTCTGATCAATAAATAAAAATTATACATCTTTAGTACGGTATGGAAACATATTTAAGTAATGTTTCTAAGACATTGTTTTAGTTCAAGTTATGAAGTAGTGACGCAAATTTTGGGACACTAAACAATATGATGAATTACATTCTTAATAATACTTTCCCAAGAACGGTATAATTGAGAAATAAAAGTTTCAATGAAAATGTTACGCACCATTTTATTAGCACTTGTCTTCGTTCAACAGGAAGTAGAGAAAGGAAAGACATAAACGATGCTAACTTGGTTGTTGTTCTATTTTTGACTCAACAAGCACATGCATACTAAATAGTGCATACTTCTTCGTTTATACCAACAGACCTTAAATATTTTTCGTATTACATTTCAATTATTACATCCGAAGATTTATCTACGATTTTCCTCACACAATCGATTAAACATGACAAATAATATAAAATTTAAAAATTAATTGAATCCTTCAACCACGATTTAACTTTCAAGTTTTCCAATATTATTGGTTTTTGTCTAGATTCATAAAAAGTTCAATTGAAACAAAATACATAAAATAAACACGGTTGTATCTCTTTCTATATATATAACCCTATTGGTATCCGCTTGTGTTCGCATACACCTTGCACTAAACAAACCAGTTTTGATGCTTACGAACTGTCGCACATTTGTTTTACAAATTTACAAAAACTAAAATACTACGATTTATTTTTAATATGGATAATTAGACAGTAGATAATGCACTCAACTGCAACAATGTTTTTTGTTTACATTATTAGCTGAAAATATCGGGAAATTWTCAATTCTCTTTTCATCCAATGAACACTTCTACGCGCCACGAGGCAGACTCGTGATAATCATTTAGGCACAGAAATTGTACCACGAGTCAGACTCTGATTATCATGAGTTGGGCACAAAAATTGTACCACAAGTCACGCTCGTGGAAATACGTCAAGGGGTTAATAATTCCAATATTACATAACTACTGGGCAATGCCCTAAATGCAATATTAAATTATGTACCTATTAATCCTATTAGTTTTCGCGTGAAAAAATTTTGCTTGATTTCGTATTTCTTTTTTTTTTTATAAAATATCAATTCATTATCTTTTATATATCCTCTGGAAAACTAATAACTTCTAATATGTAACATCCTGTAAAATATTTTCACAATTATGAAGTATAAAACAAAACAGAATTTTAGAAGTTGAGTACAAACCAACTCAAAGCAATGTGAACATAACATAATGAATTTACACAAAGGTTAAGATTATATTTACATATCTCTAGTAGTATAAATCGACTTAATGCTGAATATGAAATTATTCCCCATTCTTATTTCCACAATGTTTAATATATAACAACGAGGAGGAAAATTATAAGCAATGGTTAATCATTGAAATAAAATATAAAATTGAATTAAGTGAGTGATGTGTATCCGTATATTACTTTATACTTATGTAAGAGAGATTTCTAATCACAGTTTATATCGCTTCTCTTAATAGCTAACTGCAGAAGACCCAACAGCATCCCGAATTTTCAATGGCATTGACATTTTTTCCGCACGTTTTAAATTGCATAAAACGGCGACCGTTGCAAAGAATAAGTTACCATCAATGCTCACGCCTGTTATATACATTGAACAACAATTCCTATAGAAGATGGTGTCAAATTTTCAAATTGGGCACCTATATTTTGGATTCTAATTRCCAAACTAAACGGCAAATCCATAATAATAATGTACATTCAAAAAACACAAAACAACCTAGATTAGAAGATCTAGATCGTGCTTTCAGAGTTCTACAAGAAACTTTGCCTAAATTATTTATAGAACCACTAGATTATTCGATTTACAGCCCTAATTTGGTATTTGAAAACAATATTACCGGCAAACAAACAATTGGATTGTACCATTACGTGAAACAAATCGCACTTTTGAGAACAGTAGGGCATCTAAAATATGCTTACGTCAAGTTTGAAGTGCTTAAAATTACAAAACATACTGAAGATTATACTGTAAAAATTAGATGGCGAATTCGTGGTATATCTGGACTAAAAGTTATGCTTTCGTTTTGGAAATATAAACTTTGGCAAATTAAAGAAATTTTTGACGAGCAGGAGTCATGGTATGATGGATTTTCCGTTTGTTATTTAGGACCCGATGGACTTATACATAAACATGTTGTAGATAGAGTAATGCCAGATGAAAATAAAGAAATAGTTGAACCGGAATCCGGGCAGAGCTTGCCGACGGGATCCGTAGTTGTTTCATCGCCAAAGTGATAAAATTAGCTATTTGCAGAGTAGCAAATTCTTTTATTATTTATTAAAGCTGTTATCAATTGAAGAAAGTAAATAAACACAAATCGTTTGTGTAATTCTATAAGAAAAGTTTTTTTCCTATGTACACTATTATATTATTATATATATTTATTTTTCCCGCTTATAAGTTTCTGAAATTAATGTTAAATTAATCATTACATATCCTCAGTCATAAACATTTAAAAATATTCATTTTGAATTCACAGTTTTGCAAAAACATTCAATATCAGAACAATGATTTTGCTTTTGATGTATAAGTCAACAAATTTTCAAAACAGTGATTCTTTCGATCCCCCTTTCGATTCTTTCTCTACATTCACTGATAATCGACTTTAGCGCCTATGTAGACGATAAATGTTATCTTATTATGGTTAACCCCCTCAAACCCAAGTATCGGTTAATTACCCAACAGCTCTACAAGAGAGTTTTGACAGGATTGATAAATCTAACTAAATTCTTGTGTACGTATAGCCAATGGACATTGCTTATTACTTACAGTTATGTAAATGTTTATGCGAGCAACTCTATAGAAAGATTTACAGCGACAACATGTACAAAGTTTCCGTCGGTAATCACAATAATATTTTTCGACGATTACAATCGATAACTTTAATTATAAATATGCACYTTAGTGAACGCACTGCAGACATGCAGCTATTCAAAATCGATCATGATGAACTCTAGAGGATTGTCTCTTTCTGGGTGGTGTTAAGCAAGTGGTAGCTAGTGAGAATGAAAATAAGCACGGCCCTATGGCCCTAATGTTTATAAATGAAGATGGGGATTTATATATTTCTTGGCAACTCTATTATTTTCCAGTGTATTCGGGTTGCATTATGTGCGTCATTTCATAAATTTTCCATACCGTCAAATTGTTGTGATTTCAGCAAATTTATTCGTGAACCGTAGCTAAGTGAATTGTACTTACTCGAGAAATGATTGCATGAACGTAAATGGGAAAGAAAACAAAAACTTAGTATGAGTTTTAAAACAGAAAACTCGGATTCTGTCGGTAAATATATTTGAGGAAAAATTCAGAATACTTTTTGTTGAGCATATTTAGGCAATTGTTGTGCTATATATGGACTATGTACAATCGGGAGAAAAAAAAAATAATTTATTGCAATTTTCCGGTTACAATGCTTTAACTTTAATATTATTTACATATCCAATTAACCTTGTAATGGTTGTTCATCTGAAAAGATATGAATAAAATATATTTGCAATTAGGAGACACAGTTTTAAATAATGAAGTATTGTAATTTACATATGTATATAGTATTCGACAATATCTGTTTTACCAAGCAAATATGTATATTCCTAGATCTATTTTAAGTTATGCATGTTGGTAATGACAATGTTAATATTATTGTACCAAATAATATCAAA